CGGGGCCGGGACTGGGGGCGGGGCCGGGACTGGGGTGGAATCCACCTGTAACTCTGTCTCTCCCTTTTCGATCTTTCTGCCTCTCCTTGTCTTTCTCTCGCTTTTTCTTTTTCTTTTTCCCCCTCTTTTTGTCCTTCCCTCCTCCACCCACCTCTTCCTCCTCTCTTCTTTCTTCTTCCTTTTTTTCTTCCTTTTCCCCTTGTTACTTTCTCCCTCCTTTTCTTTTTTTCTTTCACTTTCTTTTTTTAACCCTTTCTCCTTCCCTAATTCCTCCCTTTTCCCACTTTATGATGCGTTTATTTCTCCCCTTTAACAATATTCATTGGGCCCAGTAAGGGATGCCAGATTTGCCCAACCCAGCACAACAGTGACTAAAGCATTATGATCCTAAATATATAAATAAGTAAATAAAATGTATTGATATGTAAAGGCCTCCAATATCTTAACTTAAAACAACAACAACAAAGTATGGCATAGTGTTGCTTTGTCATTAGATCCATTTGTGGAAATATATGTCTACCTCTGAATAAGTAGACTGACAAGAACTGGCTAGCAGAGGTTAGTTGTCTCAGATGAATAGGGCTGGAGGGAAAGTGGGTTATTTTAATTTTATGCTTTTCTTTATTATTTGAGAATGTTTAGTGTGCATGTTAACTTTTCAAGAAATGAAAAGGTAAAAGTTAGAAATTAAATAAGCTAGAATCAAATTTTAAAAGGCAGATGAAAAGAATAAAACTGTAGTTACTGAATTCATACCTTGCAAGAGTCCAGGCTAATGCTCTGGTTCTGTTGAGGATGTTCATTCCTCAACCCTCTTGTTTTTTCTTTTGCTGTGAGATGGATGTTCTGTGTGTGTGTGTGTGTGTGTGTGTGTGTGTGTGCATGTGAGAGAGAGAGAGAGAGAAAGCACCTTCTGGTGGGATGGCCATGCCGCAATTCCTTCTCCAGTATCCTCTCAGGATTTTGGACATGCATGCACACGTCAAGGCAAGTCCGGAGTTTGAACCACAGTTGACCATGTGGGATCCAGATCCCTTAACCTCCACACCACCTGCTGACCCAACCCCCCCAACCCTGTCTTAAGTCCTTTTTCTCATCCACTCTTCTCCCTAGATGCTGACTGAGCCCTACTAGGGCAATGAGTTATTCACGTTCGCTCGTTGGCATTTACCCAAATACACAGTGTTACAACATGTTCACTACAGCACATTTAGAGAAGTTGACTGAAGGGGAACAAGATAGTGTTAATAGTTTTCTGTATGACAATCTTGTAAGATTGGAGAGGAAAGTAATATTCTTCTTTTTTTTTTAAGTCTATTTAGGAATCAGAAGTTGGCATAATGGCTATGTCGCTGGACTCCCATGTAGCCGACTGTGGTTCAAGTCTCGGACCTGGTGACTTAAACTCACGCCGGGTGCGTGTGCATGTGTGTCCAAGATCTAAGAGGAGAATGGAGGAGAAGGGATTGTGGCATGGCCATCTGCCCTGGGGGGTGATTTCTCCCTTTCTGTCTCTCTGTCTCTCTCTGTCTTTCTGGTGAACGCAAGCACCCTATAGCAAAAACCTCTTCAAAAAAGAAAAAAAAAAGTCTATTCATTTATTTCCACCATGAGTGAGAGAGACAGAGGGGGAGACAGAGAGAAATGGTATCCCTAACAGTCTTGGTAAAGGCTATGATTCACTCCCAGCCTCAGCCAGCCCAGATCATGGGCACATGCATGCCCTGTGTACTTGGGCACGTCTCAGGACAGGAACCTAGAACCATTGCATGTGAATCAGCTTAGCAGAGTATCGTGGTTTTTTGTTTATTTATGTTTAAATTTGTATTTATTTATTTATTTTGCAACAGAGTACATGCACTCACTGGAGGGAGACAGAGAGAGAGAGAAAACATAAGAATTCACCCCCCACTGGGGATGCCCATGCCATAATCTCTTCTCTCCATTTTTCTTGTGGGATTTTGGCTGGCATGTTTTTCAAGCCGCTAGCGTCAGGACTGGAGTCAGCCATATGGGATCCAGCACCTTAACCACCACACCGTCTGCTGGCCCAAGCATCATGTTTTAGCTTTGTACAACTCTCTGACCCCAAGACAGGCAATATTCCCTTTTTTTTTTTTTGAATAATTTTTTGTTTAATTTTATACATCATCATTATTTTATTTTTATTTTTTTGAAGTTGACCAGAGAGAGAGAGAGAGAGAAGGAAAGTGAGAAAGCAAGCGGCCAGATCTAGGACTCAAACCGTGGTCAGCCATGTGGGAGTCCAGCTGTTTTAACCACCATGCCACCTGCCAGCCCCAATATTCCCATTTTATAGATGAGAAATTGGATGCCTAGAGAGGTGAGATTAGGTTGCCAGTTAGTGATACATAACCAGGGTTCAAATCCAGGTTTTCTGAATGAAATGACAAGTTCTTTTTAGTTATAGACATGGTAAAGGATGTCTTGACTGTCTCCACTCTTAGCCTTATATATGCCTGTGTATGTTCAGATGAGCTCATAATTACAGCTTTCTCTTTTTTAAATAATTACTTATTTTATTTTATTTATTCATTCATTTATTTTAATTTGACCAGAGAGAGACAGAGAGAGAGAGAGAAAGAGTGAGAAAGCAAGCTGCCAGGTCCGGGACTCAAACCATGGTCAGCCATGTGGGAGTGTCCAGCAGCTTAATCACCATGCCACCTGCTGGTCACACAGCTTTCTCTTTTTTTTTGGAGAGATTTTCGCTATAGGGCGCGTGCGCTCGCCAGACAGACAGAGAGAGACATAGAGACAGAAAGCGAGAAATCACCCCCCAGGGGGGATGGTCACGCCGCAATCCCTTCTCCTCCATTCTCCTCTCGGGATCTTGGGCATGCACGCACATGCGCCTGGCGTGAGTTTTAAGCCACCGGGTCCAGGACGCGAACCGCGGTTGACTACGTGGGAGTCCAGCAACATAGCCATTACGCTAACTGCTGGTTCCCACATAGCTTTCTCTTAATAAACGATATGATATCAGTCATTTATACTTAACCAAGCATTTGAACCTCTGAATCGCCTCTCCCAGAAAGATTTGTAACTTTATCTTGAACTCCAGGAGTGAAATGGTAGGCTTATATTTTAGGATGCTATTGTTGGCAAGTGATAGAAACCCAATTTTGAATTATTTCAAGGAAATAAAAGGGGATTAATTGATTTGCATCTCCAGAAAGGGCAAAAGTAAAATGTGCTTGAAGAAAGATGGAAACCAAGGACTTGATGCTGTTTTTCCCCCCCTCTCTCTCCTTACTCCCTCTTTTTCTTTGCTATGTCTCTGCGTATCTTGGGTTCTCTCCTTGCCTCCTACTTATGGCTGGAAACATGGCTGTCAGCTGCTGCTAGGGCCTTTACAGTGTCTTGAACAACTGAGAAAAGGGTCTCAGCCTCAACCTGAAAACATTCCAAGGAAAGACTCTGATTAGCTTGACTTGGGTCACATGTTTTATAGGCCAGGGAACAAGAGACTGACCCAACCTGGGTACCAGATCTACTACTGTGAACCAGAGAAGTGGAGGTTGTATTTAACAGCCCCACTGGACCCCTGTGGTTATGTAGAGAAAATGAGGCTCTCTTATAGAGGGGAGGGGTTTTTTTTTTTTTTTTTTTTGAGAGGTTTTTGCTATAGGGTGCTTGCGCTCACCAGACAGACAGAGAGAGACAGAGAAACAGAAAGCGAGAAATCACCCCCCAGGGGGGGGATGGCCATGATGCAATCCCTTCTCCTCCATTCTCCTCTCGGGATCTTGGGCAAGCACACACAAGCACCCGGCATGAGTTTAAGCCACTGGGTCTGGGACTCGAACTGCGGTTAGCTACATGGGAGTCCAGCGACATAGCCATTATGCTAACTGCTGGTCCCAAGGGAGTTACTTTTTCATGAAAGCTCCAGGTGTTTGTCTATGACCACCCTTTAACAAGTCTCTCTGGCATCCATGAGTAGAGGTCAGGATTGGGGAAAAGGGATTGCTTTGGGGAAGGGAATCTGTTGCTCTGAGATTGAGACACCCAGGTCTTCTTGGACAAAGCTTGGTTTCAGCTGTTCAGCCATTGACTGTAACTCTTTGCTTTAAGAACTGCTATGGGTTCCCCCACTGTGGGTCTGGCCTCTATGGGGGGTAAATGCCTCCCTCCAGGCTGGACCTGCATGCTTGCCTGTCTGCTTAGTTTTATGCTTTTCTTTATTATTTGAGAATGTTTAGTGTGCATGTTAACTTTTCAAGAAATGAAAAGGTAAAAGTTAGAAATTAAATAAGCTAGAATCAAATTTTAAAAGGCAGATGAAAAGAATAAAACTGTAGTTACTGAATTCATACCTTGCAAGAGTCCAGGCTAATGCTCTGGTTCTGTTGAGGATGTTCATTCCTCAACCCTCTTGTTTTTCCTTTTGCTATGAGATGGATGTTCTTTGTGTGTACCCTCTGGGCACCTAGCACAGATGACTGCTCCTCTTCTCTCTCTCTCTCTCTCTCTCTCCTTGATTACTCTGTTATGAAGGAAAAGGATCTGCTTAACTCATTGTCACGATTGTGTTAGTAATTCTTTCTGCCCTTACAAGTGTTCCTACATAGGTCACAAAGTATTCAAAGGAGTGAAAAAGCACAAAGCAACAAACACCTCCCAGAAAACGTTTTTGGAAGGTTGCAACCCCAACTTATCCACTCTTTTATTCTCAGCACTAGCACAGTACCTGACACATAGAAGGCACCAGAAAATGCTAGCTGAACTGAACCATGTTGTGTCAGGCAGACTCTCAAAGGATATCCCAAGCTTCTTGCCTCCACTGTCTTTATGAAAAACACTGGGCTCCCTTTTGTCCACAGTAATCTATT